GGGACACCCTGCGCTGCTCCTGGGCGGAAGAGAAACACGGCCGCCGGCAGGTCCGACCCGCCGGCCGCCGGGACGCCCGCGAAGAGCGAGTCACGTGGGTGGCGCGCCTCTATTCCGGGAGGGCCGACAGGGTGCCGGTCTGGATGTACTCGATCACCCGGCCGAGAGCCACCGCGCGGTGGCTGATGCGGTTCTTGGTGGCGGGATCGAGCTCGGCGTAACTGGAGAGGAGGCGAGGCGAGGCGAGGCGAGGGGGGGGGGGGGGCGTAAGTCGATGGGGGCAACATGCGGGGGAGCAGGGCGGTGGCGTACGTCTGGTCGAAGCCGCGAGGCTCGAAGATGCAGTCCCAGCCGAAGTTCGGCGGGCCGCGAGGCTGCTCAACAATCTGACCCTGTGGGAGAGCGGGGGGGGGAGGTGGTCAGTCGTGGGGGGAGGTGCGGTGAGGGTGGCCGACCGGCCGGGCCCCGCGGACCCATGCACGCACATGGCAGTAGCCCTCGATGACGATGGGCTCGCCGCCGGAGCCGTCGGCGAAGGCGAAGAGGCACTCGGCACGGGCCTTGCGCCCGGCCGGGGTGGCAGCAAAGCCATCCAGCATGCGGCACATGTTGTTGCGCCCATCGCCGGCCTGCAGGAACCACTTGACATACGGGCCGGGCAGGCGATACTCAAAGGCCGCGAAGGAGAGCGACGTGTCCTCCACCAGGATGGCCGTGCCCGGGGGCAGGATGCGGATGGCCTCCTGGCACTTGGCCTTGACGATCTCCTTGGCGCAGCCGCCCTGGATCTCGGGCACTGGAGGGGGAGGGTCAGAAGGGGGAGACAAGGGCAATGCGGCGGGGGGTGGGCATGAAGAGGGCCAGATCGCAGGGCGAGCGCACGGTCGAAGGAGATGGCCTCCACCTCGACAGAGGACCCGGCCGCCGCGAGGAAAGACCGGACCTCGGCCAGTTTGTGCTTGTTGCCGGTGACGAACTTGATCACTCGGTTGGCGGCAGGGGCGGGGCAGGGCGCAGT